GCATGTATTTGTCAACTCTCTCCAAGCTAACTAAGAGGGATTACTTCTCCTATCTCTTTCGTTCCCTTTCTCCGACTCTTATCCATCTTCATCTTCCGTTCTCCATTCGGCTTTCTCACTTAATTTTTCTACCTCAGAGTGGTGGAGAGTTTGCCTAATGAAGTGGCTGATGGGAGTATATTACAGAGAGACAGAGTGGAGCGGTCGCCTACTCTAAAATCCATTAACCTTACAGTTTCAATCAGCGTGCAGACAAGTCTGAGCTGGGAGTCAAAAAGGAGCGTATTAGCTTAAGAGTTACACCATTGTGCCTCGCGCTTGTTTTGCTCAATATTTTGCCCACCTTTAGCTGACAACACAAATCCTGCTCTTTTACTGTGTTATCATTGTGCTGTCACCATGTTACATTCATACGCGATCTCACCAGCCTTATGTTCATCAATTGACAGTATTCTTCTGGGTGAAGCAGCTGTGGTTGAGTGGGGGGCAGAGCACACAAATCTAGGCCCTGGGTATAAGCAGCCTCAGTGCATCTTCTTACCCTTTCAGTACATCCAATTTCATGCATGTATGTTTTTAGCACATTATTTCCTGGAAGTTCTGTTGGAGCTCAGTATCAGAATCAGCACAATGTCATTTTGGAACAATTTTCCCCGCAGTATTGAAATTGAATGAAATGCCTAAAATTACCCAGTAATTCACAAGACAGAAAAAGCAAAGATTAGAGGCGAGCATGAATGAAATGAACATAATTTTACATGACTTTCATATCCTGTTAATAATCTTGCGTCCCCTCAATTTTGCTCTGTTGCTCCCAGATTAAACCAGATAGTAAAATAAATCCATACTTGGGCCACATGCTTGTTTGCTTCTGGCCCAGTATACAACCGGTTCCATGGCCCAAATCTGGCCCTTAAACAGCATGATTGTGAGGTGATGCTACTTCCAATCTCTGGACCTATAGAACATCAACAGCCTGAATCTGCCCAGGAGTGGCAGTATATGGGCCGGACTCAGGCTGAGGACCCAGGCATATGTTGGGCCAGAAGTTCATGTTAGATCAGTTTAGATACAAAAGTAGACTGTCAAACTATTTATTCAGGAGACAACAATAATAATATCCTTGCTCTGGTTAGTTAGTTCATTATTCCACTTCCAACGATGCCCCTGACAGGAATCTTATAGAGTCCTTTCAAGCAGTTACTGTACTCTACTTCAAATGCTGCAGTGACTGCCTCAATTTCCAGACCATCATTTTCATATTCAGTTGATCTTATTTTGCTTTTCTGCACCTCTATTGAAATATGGTATGAGAATGACAGTCACCAAAGCAAAAGTGTGCAATTATTGCACTATAAAAATTTGCTTTTATTGTTGTTGTTCATATTTACATGTTGAAAACCTCGACATGTTGCTGTCGTGTTCAGTTTGTGTGTACAAGGATGCAGATATCTGACATTTTACTGTTTGGAAATATGACCTGTTTATTTAAAGCAAAAAATAAAAGTAGATCCCATACCAGGCGTCTGGTCAATGAAGGAAAAGACTGACTCCAAGCTGGATACATGATGGTGCCCATATAAAATATAATGTGTACCGAAGGGATAACACCTCCCCTGGTTTAGACTAATGTGGAAAAAGTGCATCTGTATTGTCAGTGCTGTCAGTGTTCAGGATTAGAGTGTATCAACCAGAGAAAAAAAAAAGAAAAAGATGAATAAATAATTAAAGCCTCCCCGGTCCTGATAATGCAAATGATATTCACAGGTTAGATCCGATGCAGGTGGCCACAATTAGTGGTAATTTGTGCCGATTTTAATGATCCATAATTTAGCTGGCTTTCCAAACTGCTGGTCATGTAGGATAAGTGTGTGTGTGTGTGTGTGTGTGTGTGTGTGTGTGTGTGTGTACAGTAGGAGAGACGGGGGAAGTGAGGGAGCGGTAGAGAAAACAAAAAAGAGAAAAGACGGAAGGTTAAGAATCTCCTGCCATGCACTGAAAAGAAGAGACAGACAGAATCCCCGTCTACACACAGACACACACACACACACACAATGAAACACATTTACGTGCCCGGTTTATGATGACACACTATTCTTTCACACTCCAGTATCAGCTTTGTGAATAAAAATGCATCTTTTGTCGATTCAAATTACTGTTTGTGTTTATGTACGTCGTGAACTGAAGCCCCATAGTGTGAAGAAAATTATATCTCTAATATAAACACACATATACACACACACACACACACACACACACACACACACACACACACACACACACACACACACACACATACACAAATGTTTCCCTTTGCATATATGTTTTTCCACCACAACCTCTCTGACTCTCTCTTTCTGGCTATTAGAGGTAAATTGCAGTGCCGACGTATAAAAGCTTCCATGCTAAACCATTATTTCAGTATCACTGCTAATTTGTCGCAGTCATTCTGTCAGTAATTAGCAGGTGATATGTCCCAATTTTGTGTATTTTTACAACCCACCTTACCTGTTTACATATTAATGGAATGTTTTTGTAATTTATTTTTCACAACATGTTACGGCAAAATAGCTTTTTACCCCCCCCAAAAAATCAACTGGGATAATTATCATCAATACAACGACCCCTACAATGACACCTGTTTATTTTGCTTTTGCAATAATATTACAGCATGTTTCAATTTATTATGTTCTGCAGCTTTTGACATTTTTTGGATGTTGATATAATTATTGTGGTTGTTATTCCATAAATAGCTGTATTTCTAAGCACAGTTAAAATTTATGCATTTTTTTGCATTAGGATCTAGAACTTGGAAAATAAAGAGTTTTTATTTATTTATTTATTTTTTAATGTTTTGTTTTAGCAGCAAACTTTTTTATCAAGGGTGGTACAAAAGATAATAGAAAAGTGGCCTTTCTTAGTACACAACTTTACCCCAGATTGCAAAATAAATCCGGCCCATACTTGGCCCAGTATACGCCTGGTTCCACATCTGGACCAATTCTGGCGCACACACAGTCGGCCATTGTCAGCCAACACAGGAGGATACCAGCTGAAATCTTCCCGGATGTGGAAGTGTATGGGCCAGATTTGGGCCGAGGACCCGTGCATTTGTTGGGCCAGATGATCCTGGGGAGCAATTTAAAGGGCAGATAAAGTAGATATTAAAAAAACGCTCAATTACACAAAAAAGAACACACAACCAGTACTAGACAAATTGTACACGTTAAGAAAAACAACAACAATGACATGAAGTAACATCAGTGCGAAAAAACAAAAAAAACAACACACAACAACGGTGCAAAACAAAACATGTAATATTATGATGACAATGACAACATGCGAGAATGACATTACTAGCACAAATAAATAACTGACTGCACAAGTTTTGATAAATAATTAGCTGTATGAGAGATAATCTAATAAAAAACTATGTTACATATATACAGTATATGTGCATATTTGGCATATGAGGTATATGAGCATGGATAAATAGCAAAGTCCAACAGCAGCAAGGTCAGTGTGGAAGTTACTGTGTGAGTGTGTGTGTGCAACAGAGGTGATCAGTACATGTATATATGGTCAATATATATTAAGGCTTAGTTGCATTAGTGCGTCAACATGTGTGAACTACTGTTTTCTAGCATGTTTCTGTGGGATTGCGTGTTTATCCGTTGTGTGTGTTAACGAGTGAGTGCTGTAGCTCCGCTTGTCTGTGTCGGATGCACCCACACTGCACTGTGCTTAATAGTGGAAGGCTCTGAATGGCAGCGACGGGGCTTCGTTTGTCATCTAATCTTGTAAACGAGCCGATGGCCGTCCATTTCGGTTCCCCCTAATGAGATTACACATGCATTCCGGGTCCCACCACAGGTCATCATCGCCGAGGCCATTCAAAGGCAATTATTGTTTTAAATGTTCCTCTTGTCGCCGCCTCAAAGTGACTCTGCATGCTTCGCTGAGGGAAGAAGAAGGGGTTATTTTTTCTCTCCAGTTGGAGCCTAAATGTTTTTACACTCCTACTGTTTTACTTCCCTCAGGCGGCCGTGGTGCGTCTGTTCTGCGTGTGTGAATGAGAGAATGAGTATGTGTAGGTGCGTTTGTCTGTGGGGTGATAGTCTTGGAATGAGTGTGAACAGTGCATAAGAGGATATGACTCCAGAATACAGTGTGCATGAATAAACTTGCATACATTTGATTTGTATTTATTTGTTGTCAAGACATGAAAGAATTTCTGACAGGGATTTCCTGATTGGGTGAAATCATCAGTCTCAACCTGTTCTCAGATATATTTGAAACACAATTCCTGATGCATCAGATATCATATATTTTTTATGCATTTATGCTGCTGCTACAGAAATGAGGAAGCAGTAATTTGAAGGTCTAAAGGATTCTGCCTCTCCAGTGTGTGTACATGTGTGTGTGTTTGTGTATGTGTTTGTCAGCAAGCCTCTTGTTTTGGTAGATCAGTGGGAAGCGGCAGTCCGCTGGGACAGCCCTGTTTCTTTGTTCTCCTGCTGACAATGGAGGACTCACAGTCAGTCTAAAGGGAGAAATTATGTCCCAGAGCAGTCTGGGAGAAGAACAAATGCACACACACACACACACACACACACACACACACACACACACACACACTATTTCTCACATGCTACTCATGTGGGGCATGACCTCAATAAGAACTACCGTTTTATTTGCAAGCCCTCAACACCATGTGCCGACCACTTCTAAAAGCTGTAAGAGTTAGGCCTAAGGTTCAAATAAAAGACTGGTTCAGCCGAGTTAAACAGAGTTGTCCTTCATGGGTTTCATTCTGTACACAGAGTTGTTTATGTGCAATTTTGTTCATGTTTGCAAATAAACAGAAATGCAGCTTTTGAAAACCTGAAATTCAGAATTCAGTCTTTACTATCAAACAGACTCCATAGCATAAAGTCAGGCTGATGTTAAAGGTGTTTGCCACCCCTCCTAACCCGATTCTCTCTCTCCTGTCACCACAGGTAAGGAGGAGCCGACCACCTACACCTGCACTACATGTAAGCAGTCGTATGGCAGCGCCTGGTTCCTGCTGCAGCACGCTCAGAACACCCACGGCTTCCGCATCTACCTAGAAAGTGAACACGGAAGCCCTCTCACACCACGCATGGGTGGACCTTCCTCTCTCGGCGGGGGCGCAGACTGCCCCTCTCAGCCTCCCCTTCATGGCCTCCATTTGCCTCCCGACGCAAGCCCCTTCAACCTCTTACGCATCCCTGGCTCGGGCTCAGGTGGACGGGACAGCGTCGGAGCAGGGGGTGTCGGCCCTCCTGGCATGGCTGGTGGGGGCCATCATCAGCGTTTCCCTCCCACGCCGCCCCTGTTCAGCCCCCCACCAAGGAACCACTTGGACCCCCATCACCTGAGCCCAGAGGAGCTGGCGCTGGCAGCCCACCACCCGAGTGCCTTTGACAGGGTGCTGCGCCTCAATCCTCCTCTGCCCCTGGACCCCCCTCCAACAATGGACTTCTCACGGCGGCTACGGGAGCTGGCGGGCAACACCTCAGGGTCCACTCCCCCACTATCCCCCAGCCGGCCTAGCCCCATGCAGCGTTTGCTTCAGCCATTCCAGACAGGAGGAGGAAGTGGAGGAACAGGAGGCGCAGGGGGCAGCAAACCTCCATATCTTGCTACCCCACCCCCTCTTCCTGGCTCCATGCAGTCACCTGTGGGCTCTCAGACCACTCCCACTACCCCACTCCCCTCAGCAGGGGCGCCACCCTCCTCCACCACCCCATTGAAATCAAAGTGTTGTGAGTTTTGCGGCAAGGCCTTCAAGTTTCAGAGTAATCTAATAGTGCACCGGCGCAGCCACACGGGCGAGAAGCCGTACAAATGTCATCTGTGTGATCACGCTTGTACGCAGGCTAGCAAACTGAAGCGTCACATGAAGACGCACATGCACAAATCCTCCTCACCGAACACGGGCAAGTCAGAAGACGGGCTCTCAACAGCCTCCTCTCCAGAGCCTGGCACCAGCGAGCACATGGGCAGCGCAAGCAACGCCCTAAAGTCAGTGGTGGCCAAGCTGAAGAGTGAAAATGACCGCATGCTGCGTGAGAATGGTGAGGAGGAGGAGGAGGAAGAGGAGGAAGAGGAAGAGGAAGAGGAGGAGGAAGAGGAGGAGGAGGAGGAGGAAGAGGAGGGAGAGGAGGAAGAAGAGCAAAACGCAGACAGGGCAGCCAGAAGGACCAACAACAGCTATCACTTTGGTCTGAACCTTGAGACGGCGCGCCAGCACGAAAACAACGGCGGCATCGGAAGCCGGCTGGGAGGTCTGGCTGACGAGGGGTCTATCCCACGGTCGCTGCCCGAGGTGATGCAGGGGATGGGTCTGGCTGCCAGCATGCAGCACTTCAGTGAAGCCCTAAACGCGCACAAACGGAATGCCATGGCCCAGGAGAACCACCTGCACCACCACCTCAACCGAGACCACCACCACCACAATCGCGAGATGTGTGATGGGGACTCTGTCCTGGAGACAGATCGTGTGGAGGAGGGCTCCGTCTCAACAGTGAATGGGCGGGGAGCCTCCCCTAATGAAAATGCCTCCGTCGGCCTCTCTAAGAAACTGCTTCTGGGTAGCCCCAGTCCACTCAGTCCTTTCTCCAAACGCATCAAGCTGGAAAAGGAATTTGACCTGCCCACTCCCACAATCCCTAACACGGAGAACGTCTACTCCCAGTGGCTGGCCGGCTATGCCGCCTCCCGACAACTCAAGGACCCTTTTCTGAACTTTGGGGATTCCAGACAATCGCCGTTCGCCTCTTCGTCTGAGCATTCGTCAGAGAATGGCAGTCTGCGTTTCTCGACCCCTCCGGGGGAACTGGATGGTGGGATGTCGGGCCGCAGTGGCACAGGCAGTGGGGGCAGCACTCCACACCTCGGGGGTCCTGGTCGGCCCAGCTCCAAGGACGGCCGCAGGAGTGATACTTGCGAGTTTTGCGGCAAGGTGTTCAAGAACTGCAGTAACCTGACAGTGCATCGGCGCAGCCACACGGGGGAGAGACCGTACAAATGTGAGCTGTGCAATTATGCTTGTGCCCAGAGTTCCAAACTCACACGCCATATGAAGACCCACGGTCAGGTGGGCAAAGACGTGTACAAGTGTGAAATTTGTCAGATGCCCTTCAGTGTCTACAGCACCTTGGAGAAACACATGAAAAAATGGCACAGTGACCGTCCTTTGAGTACCGAAATAAAGTCAGAGTAGAAGGCCGAACTATGGGACCTTCCCCCCTCCCACAGCTATGTCCGCCATTAGTCCCCTGTTTATTCCCAGCTCCTTGTAGATTTGCCCCAACCCCAACACTCCACTTTCGCCAATCTGGTGGAAGCTTAAGACCATGTGCTCTGCACCAGCACACCCCGTTTCCATTACCCATTGAATGCATGATCTGTATCGGGGCAATACTCTTGCATTGACGCAAAACTTCGAGCCTTTCTCTTGTGCAATAATTTACATGTTGTGTACAATTTTTTTGAGTTTTTCCTTTTCCATTTTTAAGAATTAGTCAGCATGCATAGTATGTTTTTGCTAATCAAAAAAAAAAAAGAAGAAAAGAACTTGTCCCTGGTTGGTTAATTGTTGAGTAAATGTGTTGCTGTTTTTCCTCTTGTTCTGTTTTTCTTTTTATTCTTCAAAAAGAGAAAAGACAAGAAAGAGACATCCATGCTGCATACATTCTGTAACACATATCATGTACAGTTTTGTTTTGTAACATGGAAAGTGAACAGTCTTTACCCTCTTCTTTACAACCCTGGAAATAAATGCACTTATCCTGATCTTTCTAAAAGACACCACGTTCACACAGGGTTTAAAAAAAAAAAGAAATCACGCATTAGCTTGATGACTAAACAGAAAGTAACGACAGCCTTCAAATTTCTTTCAAAAAGACAAAGGGTGTGCTAGGAATTCAATTTGTACTATCATTTGGTTGAATAAGAAAGAGTGCCTTTGATATCTCAAGACTGCATTTGGCCATAATCTTATCTGGTATAAGTTTGGGGTCACACTAGATCAAGCTAAAAGGTTGAAGCCACCCAGAAAGGTCCTTGCATCAAGCACCTGACTGCTCAAACGGACTGTGACGAAGATCAGAGAGTTCTCGTTAATCATCATTTAGCTACCTATTACATGTTCAATAGGCTATCTTTTTAAATATGTGGATTTCATGGAAAGCATGGTACAAGCAGTATTGTGTATATCTGAATTATTTGTAGTTTTGTTTTCCGGTTAAGGAGGTACTTTTGAGATAAAGGTAATCTGTAATGTACAATCCTGATCTTGAGGGATACGGCGCATTTGCTGAGAGGCGTCATGCGTCTGCGTTAGCACAAAACCTACGACGCTGCTCCGATACGTCAGTGTGTAGAACAATGCATACAGTAATATATGAGCTCCGAGTGAGGCTAACACAGAAAGCTACACAGAACTGGAAGCTACGTGCATATTACAGGGATCAGAGGCAATCTCTTTCACTCTTTCACTTACATTTCTAGAAAGAATTGCAAAAAAAAAAAGAAAATATATCTGTACTCCAGGGCTCTTGAAAGGAGTGAAAATTTTAATCAGTATGCAGAGGCTAATGCAGGGCACTATTTTTTTGTTTGCTGTTGCTTTCTAACCCAAAAGAAGGAGAGTTTTTTTTTTTTTTTTTTTTTTCTTGTTGAGTTTCATTCAAGCTGTTTATAGTATAGCACTTGTCACTCTGCCACTGAGAGCAAGTACAGACATCTCTCTTCTTTCATTGTCCCACACTGATGCAATGTTGGTACATGGGTTAGGTCTAAAAGCTAGATTGTCATTTATAGGACATGAAGTGCACTGTTTTCAAATTTTCCCAGTTTACAAGTTTATGATGAAAGGGAAATACAAAAAAAAAAAAAAAAAAAAGAAAATGTTGAAATGCTGTCAGATAACGAGGGTCCCGTTGTTAAAAAAAAAGCAGTAAAAGATGAGACACATGCAACTCCAGCCTCATGACCCTTGACCTCTGTACCCTTGCCGTTTCACCTTTGACCATTTTGTCAATTTGTTACCCCCTAGAAACCCCAGGGCTTCTCCTGGGGCTGAAAATTCACCTGGTCAACAAGGTCTGTAAATTAAAAAGGTTTGATATAAGTTGCAGTTCCCATTGGCCTCAGCAGAAACCAAACATGCCCATTGTTAGGGAGCTATATTGTGATTCTGTTGTCACCTCCACCTGAATAATCTACAGACCTTGACAGCCAGACTACAAAAACACTCAAATCTTGTTGCTTAACACTGCGAGAATCAGTTGTTGTTTTTTTTTTTTTTTTTTTTTTTTTTTTTTGTATAAATCTTCCTTTAATTCTAGATATGAAAATAAACGTTTTTGCAAATAACACTTCACTATCGTTTAGGGGAAACTGTATTTAAGTTTTGTTGTCGTTTCTCTTTTTCCTCAGCGTCTTGGTGGTGTTCAAGACTCCGATCACAGTATATATGAAATGATAAAAAAAAAAAAAAGAAAGAAAAAAAAAAGATGAAAAAACAAACAAACAAACAAATGGAAAAAAAAAATTCTGTGATGGTTTTGTATTTTATTTTGCCTTGGCTCTTCACAGCTCTTCAGGTTGAAATACAATTTGCATTGGGGAAAGGATTAAGATTATATATGAATATATAATAAAGAACTTAAAATATAGGAAAATGCACATTCATGTCGATTCCTATGCTTAAACACATTTATGGTCTACTTTTTCTGTATTTCTAGAACTGTATTTGAATTCAATGTTCACTTAGAATAGGCACTATAGTATTTATATTGAGGCTCGTATTTTTAACTGTTGCTTGTGCTCTCTAAAGGTATTTACCATACCTTTTTTTGGTAGTGGAAAAAAAAAATCCCAGGCTGCCACAGTATATTTTTTTAATTTGGCAGGATAATATAGTGCGAATTATTTGTATGTTTTAAAGAAATAAAAGGAAAAAAAAACCCCATAAAAAAGCAGCTAAAAGTAGTGGCATTGGGAGGGATGTCGCGGGCCATCAGATGGCTGCCGCTCTGTTTCCTGTCCACAGAGGTGGTTGTACATATTTCTTTGTTTTTTTGGTTCAGACTCCTTCCCGTTACCTCCACCCCCCCCTCCCCCCCCTGCCCCTCCTCCCACCCAACCCGCCGGCTCCCCCCCCTGCTGCCATTCTTGTATGCAGTAATGCAAGCTGACGTCAGCCTGTTCTGTTGTGTGCTTCTGTCTCCCTCCTCACCCCTCCCACCTGACTACATTCCAACATCAAGAAGAGAGAAAGAAGAAACAAAACCCCATAAAAAAGCAGCTAAAAGTATGTGGCATTGGGAGGTGTCGCGGGCCATCAGATGGCTGCCGCTCTGTTTCCTGTCCACAGAGGTGGTTGTACATATCTTCTTTGTTTTTTTGGTCAGAACCCTCCTATCCCGCTGTGACTCCATCCCCCCCTCCCCCCCCTGCCCCTCCCTCCCACCCAACCCGCCCTCCCCCCCTGCTGCCATTCTTGGATGCAGTAATGCAAGCTGACGTCAGCCTGTTCTGTTGTGTCTTCTGTCTCCCTCCTCACCCCTCCCACCTGACTACATTCCAACATCAAGAGAGAGAAAGAAGAAAACAAAACTGAAAAAAAAAAAAAAAAAAAACTTCATATGCAGTACATGGATTACGAAAAAGCGTCAAAATAAATACATTTAAAAAAGAAATTAAACGTTTTGCAGTTTTTTTTCATTGCCAAATACTAAATGGTGCTTTATATTTAGATTGGGTATACTTTCATATGCAAAGCATATTTAAAAATGACCTGGGGGACGTGGAGAAGCCTGCTTGAGTTGAGACTTTTTTGTAAATGGCAATGCGGAATATTTTGTTATCAGCCTTTTCTATTCCTGTTCCGAGAGCTGTTTGTTGTAACTTGAACTTGAACTTTATCTTTTACTATGGGAGTTACTATTTATTATTACCTACATGCTCTGTTCAAAACAGAGACATGGAATGGATCCTTATTTTTTGGTTTCTTTTTATTTTATTTTTTATTTTTTGGCTATATTATAATTTTGAAGGAATTTTTTTTTTTTTTTTTTTTTCTTTTGTAATGATGGCCGACGGTCATTTGATAATCCTAGGTCTTTTAATTTCTGATGTACTTGTTTGGGGTCTCTGTTCAGTTGTACTGGGAAAACCACTGTCTGTGTTTTCTGGCAGATGTCTGCATAATCCTGTTCACACACCCATTTTGTCCCTTTATCGAAAAACAATTAATAAAAAAAATGAAAGTATAACGGCACTTGTCGCTTATCTCCACTGTGTGCGTCCAGTTATCTCAAGTGTGTGTGCATGAGTCTGTGTGTGTGTGTCTGTATGTGTATGTATAATTACACTCCACCCTAGAGCCCCTTGGTATCACCTGCAACTTCACCGACGTCGAACTCTTATTTTTTATTACGTTTTCTATTAATATTATCAGTTCTTATGAAAATGTTTATTATCATTTATCACTTCTAATGGAAGAAAGTCAGAATAGACAAAACTTCAGAGTGCAAAGTCCTTCCCTCCTACGTATGTGTGTGTGTGTGTGTGTTATGGGTGTTGTTGGTGACCTGCGCAGGACATTTTCTTATTTTCTTAACATACTTTCTCTAATGAGGCCTCACGCTGCTGCTTGAACCCAGTGAACTCCACCCTCTACCCCCAACCTCACCCTAGCCTTTGGCCTTGTACTATATGTACTTTATGACTCTGTGTGTGTGTGTGTGTGTGTGTGTGTGCTGTCTCTGTCTTGCCCAGGAGGGAGGGGAGGGCGTGCTGAGCAGGTGCATACGCAACTCCATGAAAACTTCAAAAACTCCCTACACCTGTGTGTCTGCAATGTCACCCTATCTTTTGGCTGGGGCAGCTGGTTTTAGTGCATGACTACGTGTGCATGTGTGTGTGTGTGTTCATATGTGTGTGTGTGTGTGTGTGTGTTCGTGCATCACGCCATTTTCTCTTAGTTTGCATGCTATCTGCAGAGGACGTGTGTGTGCTATGCATGCCCCTCCTCAAAGTACAGTGCAGTATCTGTTGCTGATAATAACTGTTCCCTATGTGCCTTTCACCCTTAGTCACACACACACACACACACACACACACACACACACACACACACACATACAGTATACGAACACATATACACTCCTCCTCTCATGGAACGTACTAAAATAAATATCATTATGTCCTTCTGTTTGCTCAGTAGTCACAAAGCCTCATAAAGCTGTCAGGATCAATCAGCACTATGTCCTCCAACCACCGCGCCCCTCTGCTCAGCTCACACACTTACACACACACTCAAGTCTCCTCGGAGAGCATCACTACACCTGCTATAGGACCAGTGTTTAAGATGCAATCATGTGGACGTCTTTCACTGCGAGGATGTTGATCATCATTAAAACAAAACAAAAAAAACAGGATACTGAGTCCTTTAACCAGGTATCATCATTTAGACTGAAGGACGTGAA